GACGTCATGGTCGAGGCCAAGGTGTAAGTAGACTTCTTCCTGACTACTCATACCACAGCTAACCCGCCACAGTTGGGAGCCACTCGAGGAGCCGGCGCCAGAAGGCCAATGGTCTTACTTCGAGCGTATGACACACACAAAGACCCAGAAGCCATAGAGCCGCGTGTTTCGACCAAGGACATAGATAGTAGAAGAAGAAACATCACATTTTGTAGATGAAGTTACAACCACCTTCTACACGAGACATGTACATGTGTTTCCGCCCGTGACCCATGCTTTCAATCAAGCCCCGTCTCCCTCTCCATCCGCTTTCTCCTTCAAAGCCTCTGTCCTCAATTGGTTTCGTTTCACCAAAATCCTCAAAGTGTTCTGCTTTTCGATGTCCGCCATCTGCTCCCAATTTGCGATGCGCGACAATGTGCCATCCTTGTTCACTACCAGAGGGCCCAGATGATCCAGCTTGACCGCTTGCCCACCGACGTTGATCTGCGTGGTACCCTCGTCAGCCGTAGGTGCCGGAAGAGGTAGTGGGGTTTTGTTGGATTCTTGCGACGTCTGATCCTGAGGATCCTGTGGAGTAGGGGGATTTGCTGAGTTGGTGGAGTCTGACATCGCGCGTACTTGTAGGTGGGGAACGTGGATGCAGTAGTTTTGTGGACGGCGGAACGCAGTTGTGTGGGCACGTAAAGCTTGTGCTAGAGCTCTTGTTGTTCTCATGGAGTGTTTTGATCTTCGGGAGACAAAGTCGAGAGTGCGTTTATTAGTACAGCCGTTGGGTGTTGCGATGATTGGAGAAGCTACATTCGTCAATTCTAGAAACCTCTAAACATTGAAAAATAATCACGTATTGCACACATCACTGGAAATCACATGAAAACACCATGAGAATATAGTGTAAGTTATCGAGTATCATAACACACCCATACAAACATGATCGCAACCTCCGAAGTGCCAGTTTCCCGTTGTCTGGATTTTCACGTATTTCGCATGCCCGGGCAGGAAGACCTCTGCAACGCACTTTTGCGGTGCGGCTCACCACAACATTTATGGCTCGTAGTAGCCGGCTCACTACTACAGCTACAGGAAGCAATGCGACGAACTTCAAGTCGCACACTGCAGCAAAGACAATTGTCGGCATCTTGCTACAGACGGCTACACAAGGTGAGCCAGCCGGCCAACTTCATCAAGGCGCACAAAACCTGTGACATTAGATTGGACACAATCGGATCGATGGCACACATTGTCCAGAATTTTCGAGCGATACAAACGAGCAAGATGCAGGCCACCACTGCGTATATGTATGCTCAAGCCTACCTAGGTTGTCGCATCCTACCATGCCTGCCTACTAGAGCAAGCGCCACCAAGCATGTACGTCTCCGCAATCGATCCAGTTTTTTCGATATCAGCTGTACCTAAATACATATGTATCCCTATATCCCAACCTTACATTCTTTTGTTCGATGAAATGTTGAGCATCGAGTGCACCAAAGGTGGTACCTGGGTACCGTGGCGCTCCACAGCAAGGCAGGCAATGCCTCTGGTACACAAGGGCCTGCAACGTGACCATCAGGATTCAGGAATTTCTCCTACCACGCCCAAACTCCGAAGCACATCAAATTATGGCTCTGAGAGCCATGTTTCTCAAATCGCTCATGCACGGTAATGATGAGAGAAAGAGATGGGATCAGTACCTAGATACCGCCACTGGAGTCGCGCCTACCAAACTCACAATGTCTGCAATTACAGCATTGCCGTAGCGCCAGCAGACATACCACGATGATTACAACGCTGTGTTTCAGTGGGCATCCTCGCCTTGTTGCGAACCAGCCTGCGCCTTGCTCCTGGCTTCGCATCGAGTCATATGCGCGTCGAAGCCAAGCGCAGCTACGCTTCGGAACTGCACTTCCGCCTACGCAAAGTCGGCGGACAGTCCCAAGTTCATCCGGTCAAGGACCCTGGTTCCATGACTTGTATGATACGCTATCTTGACGTCGGAAGCCTGTCCCAGCGCCTCACCGGTCTTTCTCTCGGCGGCGTGACCTCACAAGACAGGAGGTTGAAACTCATCGAGTGCATGACGGTCAAGCCACGGCGGGTCAGAGCCTGCTGCACGACATAGACATCCCGCCTGTATGTCGCTGGTCTTGCCGTCTTGGGAATCACTGCAGCGCGTCAAGCGGACAGCCCACTTTGATGCCCACCTTCGGGTATCATCCACACCCAGATTCGGGAGCGCAACCGCAAGTGGGACTGGAGCTTATTCCAACTTCCACGATGCAGAGCGTGTGGGCAGTGTGCGCATTCCAGGAGCATTGCGCGTTCAGGGAGCGCAGATGCGGCCACCTAGCACGCCTAGGGGTGCCGTCGAAACCCTGAGAGCGATTGAGCGCACGGTGTCGCATCGGATGGCATGGCGCAAGCTGCAAGAATTGCTGGCATGCCGGGAGTTTGATACACAAGAGCGATGTGGGATAGCGCACAACACGTGGGGGGGTTGGCTCATCTGCATCTAACGGCACTCTGGCAAGCCACGACGCCCGTCTAAGCTCAACTACAAAGCATCGCGCCATCGGTCTCTGTGACAGCATGCCGCTTGCCGAGGAAAATTTCTCTTCCATCACCTTGCACTCTAAAGCCTCGGCAAATTCTTCCGCAAAAGGTTGCGTTGTACTTTGCCAAGCATGCAACGTCAAGATCGGATGCTCTCAAGCGACGGTCACGGCAAGACTTTGTGCACACAATCTCTTGACAACATATTGCGCGTTCGAAAAGAGGCAGATAGATGCAGGATATGCACGGCAGCACAAGAGCGGACTAGGGCAGAGGGTGCGCAGTTATGAAGGAGTTGAGCTGGCAGGCATTGGATGCGTGTCACTTTTGGTGCTGTAATCGAGTCAGCAGCAGCACGCGGTATGCCGCATTGAGCGTCCTTCACCGTCAGCTTCGAGGCCGAGCGGCATCGTGATAGAAGACGCTAGCGGCGTTCCAAGTCGCGATACGTAAGCTGAGTGGACGAGAGGCATTCAACAATATTCGCCTTGGGCGATCGCGGCCAACAAGACGTCGCGCATTGCTGTCGTCTCTGGAGCTGCAGCGTGTGTTGTTTCGATTTGAATGCCCGGCGCCTCGACCTTCCAGCGCATCCATTCCGCAGAGCTGTTTCAAGACGTGAGGTTTCATTCGAGGGTCGCACAGCCGAAGGATCTGGCGAGCCGAAGATTTGGCGGACGCCGTTGCAATCTGCCGTCAAGGGATCCCAGCTGCGCGCTAGCTGCTTGCGGGTAGCCATACGTCACGCTCACGAAACTTTTCACCTCACGCTCGGCGCCTGCCAACGGCCACTGGCCCAGCGCTCCCGCCAGCGACGGCTCGGAGAGAGCTGAGAGACATGGAGCAGAGGGTTGCGACCACGGGACGCGCTGGCAGAGCTGCGCGGAAACATTTCTGGGGCTTGGAGCTCGTCGGGTGCGCTTGGTTTCATGGACGGATATAACACCCCAGCAAGCCACAGCCGCCAACGCGACGTGAAGCTCGGCCTTTGTCGGGTCGATGCTCGGATGAGTTGCTTGCTCGCGCTCGCTGGCCTTACCGATCCGGTGGCTCTGACAAGTCACGCAGACTAAGGCGCGCCGACAGTACGTACGAGCAACTGGGAGGTACCATGGGAATGGGGGTTCTGGAAAGTGAAACCGCCCAAGACGGTGCGGGCGATGGTGGAATGAGGCTCTTGCCCTTATCGATTGCCGCGCCGTGGCGTGGTTGAAACTCCTGGGCCATGGTAATGGACGAGGTCGGGGGACATACGGGAGGGCTATGATACGCATCGATACACGCACCCAGCTTCGGAGGTGGGCACGACTCAAGGGCCCCGGCCAGCGCGTAGACTAGGAATCTAAGGCATCTGTGCATGTGCATGCAATTGGGTCCTGGCCCGTTAGCCCACGAACGGCTGTCGTCATTGGTAATAGTTTTTTCCAACGGGCGGCGCATACGCGCTCCAATGCAGTGCACACAATACGAACATCTCACGTATGCGAAAAGTCATCAGTCTCGGTCATCACGTGCCGCGTCCGAGTCCCTAGTCCCTAGGCGTAGTCGGGGTCTCGAGATGGTCCTGCATCTCTCCCACTGTCCTCACCTACTATTCCCGCCCTAAGTCTGTAACGTCGCTGCACAGGCACCCCGACGCGCTTGCCGCGACAGACCTTGTTCAGAAATCTCTTGCGCGTCCGACGCCTCCCCTGCCTCCTCACAGTATCTGCCACCCACATTATTCTTGACAAGCCATATCTGCTCGCTATCAACGTCCGGCAAGCTCCGGCATTCAGCAGCGCGGAAACAGGAATTACGCGGTGCGGAAGACGGGCACTTCTCGCAGCAGAACTCGCATATTTTTTTCGCCGACCGCTATCTCTACCCCGAGCCACCTTCTCCCCTCCCCCAAAGCTCCCCAACAGCCCTCACTCCTGTCGTGGGTCTACCGTACCTGTCTCGTGCTTACAGCTCTCCACTTGGTCTATCCGCAATCAATCGGCTGAGGCTGAAGGGTGTGTGGGCCGCCGATCTGCAGCAGGTCCCTTGTCCCTTCGCGTGAATTGCCGCGCGAGCCAGGCAAACCACCGACGCAACTTTCTTGCTAGTCCAGCTACGAGAAACCCATCGTCGCCGGTAAACTCTTCCATTCCACATCGCCGCCCCTCTTACCCATCACCTCGTCGTCTCACCCACTGCGGGCTCCCCAATTCCACCTCACCCGTGGAGTACCCGCCGACGCGTATCGACTGGCCATCTCAGTCCCCCACACGGCTCCACCTGTAAAGCTTCTTCGTGGCCCATCGTTCCTCCATCCCGACGTCCGTCTAACGGCCCTCGTGGTGTGCTTAGCCAGCCTTGCACACGTTACTCCGCCCTAAGCTCCGTCGAATGGTCCCTTCACGACTAACAATTGGTCGCGCCTTTCCCATCACTTCACTCACCCTCGACCCACCAATAACTTCACTATGGATTCCACAGACCGCTTCCGTCAGCCTGGCCTCAATAGCTACCCATCAATAGGCCAGCAGCAGTACAATGGCAACAACAACCAGCTGCCCACCCTGCCGCCTCTACAGAGCGCCAGCCAGTACGCGCCCATGTACAGCCACAATAGCAACCCTCACACGCCCCAGCCGCCGCACACGCCTGTGACCTCGGCCGCCAATGGCAGTTCTACCATGCCTCCGCTGCAGCACCCGCCGCTGCGACCCCTCCAGCCCACGCCGAGTTCGTACATGCCCATGTCGTCGGCTTATTCGCAGGCGCCTATGCTGTCCACAGCATCTGCGCATACCAACGGCCACCAGCTCGGCGGCCCTCCTGGCATGGGACTGGGACACACGTCCATGTACGCCCACCCTCCCGTACTCCCCAACCAGGAGCCCGAACCCGTTCACGTCGTCGGTCAGCAAGGTCGTCGCGGAGTCTTGCCCACGCACCCCGGTAGGCCCGCACCCGCTGCAGGCAAGACTCCCACAACTGCCACCAAGAATGCCGAGGGCAAATACGAGTGTCCTCACTGCAACAAGACGTACCTGCACCTGAAGCATCTCAAGCGTCATCTGTTGCGCCGTAAGTTTAGCCTCCACATAACCGCGCTCCGCTTCTAACATTACACAGACACCGGCGAGCGGCCCTACCAATGCCATCTCTGCAAGGACACTTTTAGCAGAAGCGACATCCTGAAGCGTCACTTCCAAAAGTGCTCAATACGAAGGGGTAACCCAACCGGCGCGAACCACCTCCAGCACGCGCAACAACATCTGCAGAAGAACAGGCAGCCCAGCGGCGCGGACCAGAACTCGTACCTCAACCACATTGGCGCGAATTCCATGTCTTACGCAGATGCTGGTGGCTACACCATGGGCTTGCCTCAGATGCCGGCGATGGGCGGCAATGGCTTCAACGACAGCCTACCTTCGCTTGCCAACCATCACCAGTCCATGTCGGCGCGCACATCTCGCTCTAACAGCTTGATGCGCCCCAGCAGTGGAGTAGAGGACAGCGCGCATCGTAGGAGCATGTCGGCCATGGACTTCGCGAACAACAGGATGAACTTCAACGACTACCGGCCCGACGGTCTCGCCAATGGCTACGCGCAACAGCAGCAGCAACAGCAGACTCAGCCTGCAGCCAACGGATCCGACCCCAACTCCCATTACAACAACTATGACCACGCCTCCACCAACGGTTCGATGGCACAGAATGGCATGACCGTTAAGAGTGAGGCCGCGGACCCAGCTTCGTACGGAGGAGCATCGACCCTGCCCAACGTGGACGGCATGACCAACGGCCAGGATGGCTCACTTTGGCGAAACGGATCGTTCAACGGCGATATGAATAATTCCAGTACGGCAGGTGGCCCAACCTTTCAAAAATCGGCCCAGTTCTGACCGGAACTTTTAGACCTCAGATGATACACCACATGATACTTTGTTTGGACTATACTCGCATGTTCCCAGTTTGGCCGACTCTTCCCCGATGCTTGACAACTGGTTTATTGGCCAATCCACGTCTGATCCTCTGCACAACCTGGCACAATCGCTTTTCAACTTTTGCTTTCCGAATGCGTCTTTACTTTCAAATCAACAATCAGACGAGGCGTACGCTCACGAAAGGCTGAAGACTATCTTGACTGGAGACAACGTAAAGGATTTCCTACACCAATACAGACACTATCAATCACACTGGCCTTTGATACACGTTGCAACATTTGATCCGTTTTCCGCCAACCCTGGGCTTGTTCTGGCGATGTGCTGTGTTGGCGCCGTGTATTCTGATCGAATGCGCCCTTCGGATGTCCGATGGCTGATGGATCGTGTGCGAGAGAGCATGCTGAAATCTAGTCATGTTCACGAACTGGCGCAGGCGCACCAGATGGCTGATTTGAACCATCAGCTGACTGCGACTACCGAGGAGATACAAGCACTAGTCCTCCTTCACTCTCAGTTCCTATGGCACGGGTCCCAGCAACAACGTCAACAAGTGCGAGATGAGGTGCGGACAGTGGTCAACATTACACGTTGTGCGGCACTATTCCAACCTCTTCCTCAGGACAATCCGAATGCGAGCGCGTTGCACCAATCTGGACCAATAACAGGTGCAGAGGTGGACTTGTGGAACTGGAACTCTTGGATTGAGAATGAAAAGCGAACTCGATTGGCGGCATACATTTATCTTATCGATGCTTCTTCCACCATATTCTTCAACACACAGCCCAGGTTCGACGCCAAGAGCATCACAGTCCCTCTGCCGGCCGATGATGCAGCCTGGGAAGCGAAGACTTCTGAAGAATGCGCCAGTGCTCTGGGTCTGAGAGGATCGTCAGCGCAGATGAGCAACGAATCGGGAAGCAGACGCGCAAAACAACTAGCCTTGTGCGAGGCGTTGTGTGTACTCAACGGAGCCTGTCCAGGAAAATTTCCTGAGCGGGCTACTAATGTCTTTGGAAAATTCAGTAAGTTTTCTCTGTCTGGGGTCAACTACAGCCCTCTAACGTCGTCTCCAGTTCTCATTCACGCGATTCATGCGCAAATCTACAACATCCAGCATCAGCTGCTTCAGCGAGTGTCTTCAAGCGGTACAAGCACACCCCGATCGCAAGGCGATAGTCCTGCCACACCACCAAATGGCGTCAATGAGCAAATCCAAAATAAGCTCCGTTCGACGGTCGGCGCGCTTTCGCTATGGAAGGCTTGCTGGGACAAGGACCTTGCTATCCAGTTCACACAGAACCAGCGTCGACGTGGATTCTGCCGAGACGGCATCCACTTTTACTTCCTAGCTCAAGCGTTCTTGCGGCAGTCTCGACCAGACGACTGGGCCGCTCCTGCGGATGTTCGGTGCCGGCATGTGTTCAATCTCCTGAAACAGATCAGACATTACGTTGCATCAGACTCCGCCCAGAAAGGCATCGAGATCGGCTCCATGGTTGCTATCGCTGACGACTACGCCATCGCCGACTTGACGCTAAACATGAAACGTCTTTTCACGCCTCTCGACGAAATCTGAGCGCCACCACTTTTGCTCATTCCTACTCCATTGCCAGAAACGGTCCTCAAGCATCATCAGGATCAATCCAAACTCCATGTACATGCGACAGTACAGCTCCACAACAAAGTATCATCACTTTATCATCGAGATCTACATCACTCTACCATCGAAACCATTAGACTCATTAAAATTTCAGCAAACTCGCCCAGCACGAGTCGAACTCAGCTGGGCGATGCATTCTCATCGGAGTTCCCGGAGCCAGCCTTGCGGCCAACCGGCATGCAAGGCGTCACGAATCACACACGGCGGTATTCACGATTTCTTTTCCCATCATCAAAAAAAGCATTAGACACATCACCTCACCAATTGCATCTGCCAGGGGCAACGGACCATTCATCAATTACGCACGGCGGCAGTACAAGGCAGAATTTCATGGGATTATCGGCTGAACTTCCTCCGGGAAGTGCAACGCAGATTAGACTGTGCGGGTTATGTTTGGCTTCAGTGTATATGTTTACTTGCTTTTTGGACCACACTCGGTTCACTGCGTCATTCACTGCATTTCAAGGTGTTATCATTCTCCGGAGAAGCATAGATTTAGAAAACAGGGTGTGTATGTGTACCCAAAGCTGCCTGTATGCAGAAAAGTCGTCAATGAAATACGTTTGCTCCACATTGGGTCGTGCCGTACACGTGCATTTGGTGTGAAGGAAAAGTGGGTTGGTCTCAAACTGACATGCTGACCTAGTTAGGTATCCACCGAACTACCCTCGCTCCTGCTGCCTGTCTGTCAGCGTGGCGTGGGTCGGCCCTTCCTGCACGCGTGCCTCGGAATGTGCTCCGCTGCAAGCCAGGGAATGCATACGCTATACTGATATCATCCGGTTAGAACTTAGTACGATGGGACCTGGGGAGACCCTTTCGAAACGTTCACGTGCCGCCCATCAACTCTTCTCATCTTACCCCGGCGTGCGACTTCAGCAACGTGCGCAACGAGAGGAGCCTTATGACTTTGTCGCGTGCGGCAATCAAAAAGCTGGATTACTCAACCACGATCAGCTCATGGCGCATGCGCAATGAAGCAGCGGATGCAGGCCAACTTCCTCTTCTTGCACTTCGTCGGCGGCGTGCAGCATTGATGTCGCATGATCAGAAGTCAAGGTAGTATGTTTACTGGGACATTTGGACTGACCCAGAAGCCAATAAAGGGTTACCTGTTGGCAGTCGACCGTCCTAAGGTTGTTTGCCACACGATGCTGGTAGACTGAGAATCTCTATTCGCGATGTCGAGAAGCAGCTGGAGGATTCAGCTTCTTCGTACTGGAGGCCAGCCTTGGTCTACTGGTACATCCGGCGCTTACATGTCGATTAGCCTACATTGGACTACAGACGAAGTTACACTATCTCATGTATCTGTAGCAGACTGACGCAATGTATTCGTCGTACATCTGCAGGTGTTTATTGCCGGGAGAAGTCAGCTATCCAATTGGATTCGCATGATAAGAGTCACGTGGATTTGCGCCTATCGGGAGGATGAGCTGTAATAGAGGCAGCCTTGCTTTCCTCCTGCGACATACTTTCGACAGCCTCCTTCTTCGCGGTTCTTCTTGAGCTGAAAACAGTCCAGGAATCCTTCCAAACATATCGGCGCAAGGGCGCGAGTCGAGCGACGCATCCAGTTTTGTTTTGCTTCACGCGCCCTTTTCGGCTGCTTGTCGCGAAATTCCCTCGGCCATGGACTTATCTCCCACAGTAGACGAGCGTCGCAGTTCTTTTGACAACGGAGAAAAGACTCCCAGCAACTGTAGCACGTTCTGCGATCGATGTGTGGAAATGTGCTCGAAGATGGAAAAATGCCTTGCTAATGAGGAGGAGAAAGAGGCGGCTCGGCTTGCATGGAAAGACTCGTGCCTTCGCTTCGAGTGGCCAGAGTATCAAGAATACGACTCTTTCAAGCTTGACAGTAGCTCTGAAGAAATGAAAGCTTCTGCCTGCGGAATCTGCCGAGCAATTGAAATAGCAATCTCTGGGAAGATTGGAGAATGGACACGGGAAATGGAGTCACCCATATTCGAATGGTCTCGATCTTTGGGCTCCTTCGTTTTTGATTGCAGCACCCGAAAGTTTGGCACTAGTTTGACCATTCTGACGTCGTCTTTTGTTGAGAGCTACCCCCCACTGTCTGATCTAGAACGGGTCAGAGACTGGACAGAAGACTGCTCAGCTTTCCACAATCGTTGCACCTTTAGGCAGCAAGAAACATTGCAGGGTCTAAGGGTGATCGACTGTATCCAGAGAATTGTTGTTCTGGCGCCTGGGAAATGTGACTATGTTGCATTGTCCTATGTTTGGGGCAAAGCCGGCAACATGCCGCTGCAAGAGGCCTACGATCTGAAGGCAAAACTACCCGCTACAATCGAGGACAGTATCACTACAACCCTGGTTCTTGGCTACCAATACCTTTGGGTGGACAAATACGTACGGACTACATACCCTTCTTCACAATTTCTTGACTGATCATCATTTCAGCGTGTGCAACAACATGACTCCAGGGACAAACACATACAAATCCAACAACTGGACCTCATATATTCTTCTGCTCAAATCACCCTCATCGGAGCGGCTGGCGAAGATTGCACGTATGGATTACCTGGTGTAGGGCGGAAACGTATCTTCCCTGATATATCCATTGACCTCGTCCCCGTGACTTTGGGATTCGAATTGGAAGCCTCTTCAGTCGCCTCACGAATTGAATATTCCACATGGTCTACTCGCGCATGGTGACTCCAGTGCTTCATAGAGCCCAAAGATATTTCACAAAGGCTAACGTGACGTCAGGACTCTTCAAGAAGGATACCTTTCTCGAAGAAGACTGTATTTCACAGATTACGAAATTTTGTTCGTTTGTAATGAGTCTACGGAAAACGAATTCATCTCAAGTGGCCGCGAGGCGTCCGTCAACAACCTCAAGTTCACCTTTCCCACATCTAACCAAAAAAGCGCTTCTGCGTTGAGCAAGGGGATAGGTTTACTGGAAAAGTACTCTGCTCGTAGTCTCAGTTTCCAGTCCGACGCGCTGAACGCAGTGCTTGGCATATTTAATTCCCTCCGGGATTGAGGCCTGCAAATGTTTGTTATATCTTAGCAACGCTCTGCACAGTTACATAAGCATTGACATATTCTGGTATGCTAGTGCATCAGATTTCTCGAGAGTTTCTAGATAAATGTAAGATGCCATATAAATACGACATTTTCTACTGCGCACTATTGGTATGTGTGAATGTAGTTTAGACATGTCTTGATACGCGACGCATGCATATCCAATCGAAGGTAAAGTAGATTGCGTAGGTGAGTGTTAACTTGGAGATGGCCAGCATTAAGCCTCACTCCACGAGATTGGATAGTAGTGAAAGAGCGCACATGTATAGGTATCATGTCGCTCTTGTCACGATCAACATATCAGATCACTGTTCACATAAGTCACCTAATGTGTCTTTTGTTCTTCCTGCTGTATGTTTCTTCGGCAAAAGAGACTCCCTCGTCTTCCGAGTAAAGCTTTCGCGCTATTAGATATGCCTTGATACAAGCACGTCACTACTAAAGGCTGACCATCGCATCTAAGCCTGCTACATTTCCTTTATCTTGATGGGCCAACAGGGTGGTCTGATAGAGACATATGAATAAAGTCGAAACATAATAGGTAATCCATCTCGTCTAGACCTAACTGAGTCACATTCGAACATGGCTGAGAAGGTGGACCAATTGTGGATCAATCTGACAGGACCTTGCGAGGGTAGAGGCTGGTATATCATATAACGATTCGGCCAGGGAAAGAGCGTTGTGAAGGGATGCCACATGAGAAGTAAAAGATGAGAGCGACTCGTATTGGGTCAATAGCGTTTACGTGGGTGCATCATAAACTTACTATACATCATCTAAAGGTCTCTAAAGCGGGCAGGTCAGGATTGAGACGGTTGTAAAATCAAGAGATGGCGTGGAGGAAGATTCTCTACTTGAATGGGAGACACTTTTGGAGATCTGGATATTGTGTAGGCGTTGGTTGCTAGGCAGCGACAAGCGTTCTGCTCCGGAAGAGCAGCGTGAGACCGGTTCCATAGCGTATGTTCAACATGGTACAGTAACAGCTCCACGATACTGCTAGATTGCCGAGAGTACTCGACCGTTGAAACAATGCCTCATCTCGGATGCGAAGATGCAGAGACTCTCGTGAAGAAGAGAGCGAGCTCAACCCCTTCTCACGCTTCAGCGCGATCTCGTGACCTTGTCCCAAAGCAGATCGAGGAGCAACGCAACCCTTTGCCCGTTTCCATCAAAATCGCAGGGGCAACACGGAGACCCCGAATCTGAGGCTCCATGTACCCTTCCCTGGACCAGCGCACGACTGCGGCAGCCGTTGGTCGATCGGTAACTCAACGACACTATACTTGCAGCAGCAGCATTCATCGGTATGATGTGTTCTTTTCGGGGCTTGCATCGAGCGGAGTGGCTGGGGCGCTTGATATGACTATCTTTGTATATTCTCCCTTCCGACCCTGCATGCATGTCGTGAAAGCAGCGCCAGTGGTGCATCTCACGACAGCCACTAGTTGGTTTTGGACTCAACACTAGTCTCAGGAGCTGGCCGCCTCCTCACCCATCCTTTCCCCTGGGACGATAGGAAAAGCAGCAAGAATCATCCGATCAGCACACCTCGAAGCTTCCATGGTACGAGAAACAGGATTATTGCGGTCATGCTATAGGATACTTCACCCGTGACTGCGTGCCTGAAGATGTGCCGAGAACATGTGTCCACCCATAATTTTAACGATGGAAATCCTGACCGATCCAGTAATCCTGAGGGTTGAGTACCCGAGTACTAGTCCCGCTGGGCATGATTGTCGTGGAAGCCGCCAGTAGATCGGACACGAATATGTGTATGACGAGATCCTGCGTATGCTCTTGGTGGATAATATGACAGCAACTGCGGAGCCGAACGACGGAGCTGGTTGCACGATGGG